TCTCTTAGTGATAAGATTTTTAGTTTCATATTTTTATAGGAAAAGACCAACATTTTACTTATAAATCTGAAGTCAAAACTATACAAAAATTATTTAATTAACATCCACCATGTTGCAGTAAGTCTTTTATTGACCTTCATTTATCCATGGTCCAAGAAATCCCATTTAACCGATGCTTTGTTTATTCTTCAGGAATTTTTGTCCATTTAAAAACAGTCCATAGATCTGGGGGGAAAGTTCAGTAGTAGAGCACTTGCCTAGCATGCACAATGCCCCGGGATCAAATTTCTACTTGAAGGAAAGGAAAAACAAAACATTATGTATGTTTAGTTGTAATCATGCTTTCTTCATACATAGAACATACTATATCCTCTATTCCCCAATACATATTTTATATAAAGTATATTTCCTCATCAAAACATATAAATCTACTACGTTCTTTTGATGGTTACATAGTTTTTCAATGTGTACTTATGTTAAGTACTAGCCATGCATAATTTTGAAGAACATTAGCGAGGACTCTGATATGAGTCCTATAATAGGACTAATATAGGACTAAATCTCTAATAGGAGGCTTGTATGGTTCCTTCTAGTAGGATGTGATGAGATTGGGTTGATGAACTAGTGGAGTGAACCTGATGTGCTTGAGATTAAATAGCCACACAGGAGCTTTTCCCACAGAGAGAGGAGTATCCAGGGGAGAGTAGAACTGATAGACTTTCCCAGCTCTTGGCTTAAAAATGCCATGACAGTCTTTAAATTTTTATGTCTTAAGACATTAACTTACTTTGCCACTCAATTCAATATGTGTTGTTAAATTGCTGGTTAGATAATTTGGATCTTTTATGTATTTTTTATATTTAATGTTTAGAATTAACCACATTACTTCTAGTATTGCTTTGGGAGAAGGAAAACAGGGACCTAGTCAAAGACATGTTTAAGGATCAGATGGTCTCTTCCACACAGACAGACAATTGAAGTGGCTTGGAGAAGAGGCTTCTGAGTGGTTATGAGCAAGAGGCTGGGAGCCTCTCTGGAGCGGTCAGCAGTGCTGCAGTTTTCTCTGAGTTAAAAATTCAAGCTCTATGAATGCTATGGGTATTTACTTAGCACACATGCTAAGAGGCTCTTCTAGCCACTTCTTTTAGTCTTAGTTTCACATGTGCAGTGAAGTGATAGATATTGCTTCATAGGGTTGCCACCAGTGAAACAGACATACAAGGTGATTTGAGGCTGCTTCATAGTACACTTTTCATAAGAGGAGACATAGATAACAGGCCCCAAGTACAAAATGACACAGTTACTTGGATTTTCAATTTGCAGGAGTCTAACTGTTCTAAAATAGAAGTCATGGCTGTTAGTACTGAAACTAACTCTACAAAGAAAGAATTGACTTAATATGCCACCAAAATCTATGCATTTATAAGGCCCACCTAAATAAACTAATCATTCCACACTGTGACATGCACCTGGGATAATGCAACACAAAATTTAGGGCATTTCTACTATTTCTACTGTGAATTCTCATAATCTAGAGCAACAGCTACTTCTCATTACTGTATTTTCTGTTGATACTGGGTTTGGCTAAACAGAATATTTCCCAAAGCATCCTGACTCATTTGGAATGACTTCATACATAGTTTAGTAAGAGTTTGGTTATCAACAGGTGCTTTTCTATGTTGCTCATTTTCTGTAGGTGTAGGAGGTCATTGGCTACCTGTTTCTTACTTGTATCTTTTGTTGTAATTGTACCAAACAAGTCTGCCATACATTTCATGGTACACAGAACAAAATCATATAAGGGCTTCTGTTTTACAGAATGCACTTAAATGATGCTCTAATGCTGTGGGATGGTCTGTATGTCAAATCTGTTGCTCTGATTGGTCAATAAATAAAACACTGATTGGCCAGTGGCCAGGCAGGAAGTATAGGCGGGACTAACAGAGGAGAATGGAGAGAACAGGAAGCTGAGTGAGGGAGACACTGCCAGCCGCCATCAGGACAAGGAAGATGTAAAGTACTGGTAAGCCACAAGCCACGTGGCAAGGTATAGATTAATAGAAATGGATTAATTTAAGCTGTAAGAACAGTTAGCAAGAAGCCTGCCACGGCCATACAGTTTGTAAGCAATATAAGTCTCTGTGTTTATTTGGTTGGGTCTGAGTGGCTGTGGGACTGGCAGGTGTCAGAGATTTGTCCTGACTGTGGGTCAGGCAGGAAAACTCTGGCTACACTCTAACTCACATTCCTTCTAGTTTTCTTCAAATCATTTATTTGAATGCATCAAAAAATGTTCGGTGACAGTAAAACAAAATGATGGCATCAATATAAAAAATATATGCCTTAGGAAAAGACTTCACATTGTCATTATACAGTGAGTTACTATCCCTAGGTATTGATTATTTAACACAAGACTGCAAAAGAGTCAGAAGTCAAAGACAGAAGGATGTAAAAACTGGAATGTAGAAGCTGAACATATTTGGTTCTCCCTGGTGAAAGGAGGAAAAGAATTAGCCGTATCAAAGTGTCAGACAGCATACTAAGCTCTACTAAGATTTTTACAGTCATTCGCTTATTACAGTCAATTCTTTAAAGTAGGCACTTGTATTTGTATTAGTCAGGTTAGGTTAACTTCCATACAAATAATCATAACATGTTAGTGGTTCAACAGTCAAAATGCTCACTCATATTGTAAATACAAACCGCATCAGTAATGGGTGGGGAGTAGAAGCCAGAATAAGTAAGTTCATTATTTTGTTATATAGAAGGAGTAACATGCTCCTTCTGATACTTATCTCTATAACCACAGATTGGAGCAGTGCCTTTCCCACGTTTTTTTTTTTTTTTTTTCAACTAGGTTCTAGTATAGTAAAATTTTGCTGGCTTTCTGAATAGAGGAGTCAGCCCTGTGAGTCTGGGCAGGTTCTGGATCTTCTGAACAGTTCAGGTTCTCTGCATAATTACTCTGGAGCAGAGACTGGCACTGTACCTATCAAAGCAAAAGGTATTTTCTTCTGGGGAAGACTGGATGGTCAACCATGTTGATCATCAGAGACCTGTTTAAGCAATGGACAGTGCTTAATACAGAGACCCATAACTGGTCAAAATGCAGAGAGTAAGTTCCTATGGAGTGCTCAGCCCCAGTGGGACATCTATATCACACATCTTCCCTCAAGACTTAAGGAATATTTCAGAAGATAGAGTGGAGTGATTTTAAGAGATAGATGTCAGAAGGACTTGGGCAAAATAGTGTATTGAGGACATGACAAGACCCTTATATTCATAAGCTTATGACAGCTGTTGTTGCTTGCACAAGACTTGCACAAGACCAAGACAGTCAACATTACAGTATGGATGGGGGACGGGCACATGAGCTCCAGCTCCTACCTGTGGGGCTATTGTCAGTGCTTTCTGAAGTTTATTATGCCAGTGGATGGCCCCACATACATGCATATATGGGCAGCACTGATTGGACTTAGTGGGTTATAAAAGAGAATAAAAGGGGATCACGAAATTGGGACGAGTCGTGGAGGGGAATGGGGAATAAATATGATCAAAATACATTGTATGTATGTAGAACATTCTCAAAGAATAAAAAAAAATCATGCAGAACACAGACTTCTTCCAGTGTATGACTCTGTTCCCCTATAAGATCTTGAAGTCATTTATTGAGTGACTGCATATCAAGTGAGGGAGATATTGGTAGGAATGTCAAGATATGACCATGTTGAGACATGGTTGATCGTCCAGTCCTTCCCAGAAGAAAATGCCACTGGCTTTGGTGGGCACAGTGCCAGTCAGTCTCCAATGCAGTGTAGTTATTCAGAGAAGAAAGCCAGGATGACTTTACTATACCAGATTCTTCTTGAGAAAAATATGGGAAAGGTGTATTTTTAAACTGAGTGGCTTTAATGAAACTGTAAAAGGATATCTTGACAGCAGCAAAAAAAATCAGAACATTTTATCTCTAGTGAACAGATTCAGATACATAGCTAAAGAGCAAAAAGTGAAATATATGTGATATGTATGTATCTTAAATTATATATGTCTTTATCTGGGATTCAGTACTTCCCCTAAATTCTTGTATGGCTTTTGGAGACATTATAAATTAGGTGATCAGGGTGCTCAGCCAATATTCTCATAGTGTTTCTGTTTATGTAACAATTGGATGGATATATTGTCCCCATACATTTCCCCTCAGCATCTCATGATAACTCAGGGTAGGTTATGGTTTCTATGCTGGCATGAAATTCAGCTATAATAAATCTGAGCTATTCTCTCAATAACCTTAATGCTTAGGCAAAGATGCTGACTGATCGATTGTATAATGATCTACTGCATTCATTCTCCATAATCCATTTGTTTCACCTCTAAAATCAAAACCTTAAAAAATACGCAGGAATTATTTGTCATTAGTTCATGGAAAATTACAGCTGCAATATTTTTTCTGTGACCTTATATTGGTTAAAATATAGACTAGGGTGTTATTAAAAGTAAAATATATTAATCTGGAAAACCATTCATTCCTTTACATCCCAACAACAGTGTTGCCAATATATTTTCAACTTCTGTACTCTCTTTGAATAGTTATTTTTCACAGAGTGGGAAGTACTGTGAAGTTAGGTTGAGAACACCTGAGTTTTAGTTTTGGCTCTGTAAACTATTGTTCATTCATTCATTCACATGAAGCACCTCATTAAGTGCTTTCCCACTGAGTTCCTACAGTGTACTGTGCTGGATTGTACTGCCAGTGTAAAAGAAAAAAAGTAGTTTTGGTGTAATAAAAGAGTAGAAATGCCAGCTCAGGCACCATCTCCACTATTGCAAGTAGTCTAAGCTGGGGCCATCCTTGTGGATTCCTGGGAACTTCCCTAGTAACAGATTTCTCCCTATCCCCATGATGTCTCCCTCTATCAAGACATCTCTTTCGTTGCTTTCCCACTCTCTTCCAGCTTGGCTAACCCATTCCCTTATGTTCTCATCCCCCACTGTCATCATAGAGCCTTCATGCAGTAACATATGGAAGCAGATGCAGAGATCCACAGCCAAGCAACAGAGCAAGCTCCAGGAGTCCAGTTGAAGAGATGGAAGAGGAATTTGATGAGGAAGGGGGAGTCACGATCATGATGGAGAAACCTACAGGGACAACCAAACCAAGTTAGTGGGAACTTATGAACTTTAGACCAATAGTCGTGGAGTCTCCATGGGACTGGACTAGGCTCTCTGCATAAGTGAGACAGTTGTGTAGCTTGGTTTGCTTAAGGGGCCCCTGGCAGTAGGATCAGGATCTATTTCTAGTGCATGAGCTGGCTTTTTTGAGCTTATTACCTATGGTGGAACACCTTGCATAGCCTTGATACAGGGGGAGAGGCTTGTACCTGCCACAACTGAATGCACCAGGCTTTGCTGACTCCCTGTGGGAGGCCTTACCTTTTCAGAGCAGGGAATAGGGGTGTACTGGGGGAGGGAAGGCTAGTAGGGTAGCAGGAGAAGGGAAGAGAGGGAGATCTGTGGTTGGTATGTAAAATGAATAAAAAAATTCTTAATAAATAAAAAAAGAGTAGAAATGTACACAGAGGCAACAAAGTCCCCCAAGGCATTCATAAATGGTTAGAATGAAGTATGCAGGACCAAGAAGGGAATAATATGGGACTTTATATAATTATGGTGCTTATAGTTTTTTGAATCTTGGCTTATTGGAAGAGTTAAGAAGGCATCCTAAGGGGTTGTAATGAAGACGAAAGTTGTAAAAGTATATCCTTAACGTGGGGAAAAACAGAGGAGGGAGGAGACATGAGCAGGTCACTGAGATCTGCTTCTACTATGTAGGGTGGATGTGTTTAGACATGTATGTAGAAATCTCCAATTTGGTATATATAAAAGCTTGACAGGATAGTAAAATGCATGGAATAATTAATACCAACTTCTAGAGAATGTCACCTCATTGATAGTGTAGACTATCTTAGAATAATAATGAGTTTGATGTTAACTATTTGTAATCCTTTACTTATAAAACACAGTAAATGAAGTTTTCACAAATATACAAATTTTTTTTGGTTTGTGTATTTTTGAGACAGGGTCTTGCTATGTAGTTCAAGATGGTCTTGAACTTCTGATCATCCTGCATCAACTAATTTAGTGCTAGGATTAAGAAATGTACCCAACTACATTGAACTTTTTTGCCACTTCTATGTGTGTATTATACAATTGAAAAGATGCCGTCTAAAGAATTATCACAAAAGTGACAAAATATCACTTCTTTATTGCCACTGCTAGCTACCGGATAGCTCAAAAGTGTATCTTCGCTTTTACCCATCTGAAATTTACTGGATCAACAGAAAATGAAGGGATAATCAATGTGTGCAATACAAACAATGATGTATTTTGCAAATAATAAATAGTATTCATGTTCAGTGGGAAATCTAGCCTTGTTGTAAGATGTCAAATGCATTTTCCTTCCAATCTAGTGGCCTTTTCTTTGCCTCCTTCTCTTTCTCATCCCCCTTCTTCAGACTGTTTCATGTCTTTTCTTCCCTCTTTCTTTCTTTGCTCTAAATATCTTTATCAATTTACTTAATCATACCTGTTCTTGCCTGTGAGTATCTGAGGAATTTGAAGGCTTCTCACTCTTCAAAGTCTTCAATTGCTATTGATTGTACTTCTTTTAATGTTAGACTTTATCTATTTTCTAATGTTCTATGGTAATGATCTAATATTAAAGAATATCCTAGGATGGCAGGAGAGCTCAACATTTTTATTGAGGGGGATGAAAAATAAACAGACAAACACACAAACTGTAATAAAGTTTAGTCTCTTTAAGTAACAAAAGCAACACTTATTTGTCTTGCCAAGTCATTCTTCTTAAATTCCAAGTGATATACAAACCTTTTCAGAGAAACCTATTATTTCTGTTCCCCAAATTCAGGTCTCCTAGGAGAACAAAATTGTAGAGTTAGAGAAATGCGGTCTAAATAACTTTAAAAATATTTTTTGAGAATTTTATGCATGAATACAATGGGTTTTGATCACATGCTTCCCTCTCACTCCAGCTATAAGTCTTGCTACACCTCAATACCACTTCCCCCCACCCCAACTTCATGCACTCTTTGTAAAACCTACTGTACATTAGATATATTCAGTTCTAAGACAGCAAAATCAAGGTGTTAACTTGTCTTGAACTTGCAAGGCCCTGGGTTTGATTCTGAGCACAGCAAATACAGAAATGAAATGGAAATTTCAAGTGAGAACAGAGTCTCTTGGGATGCTAATTACCAATGGTATTGCTTCAGCCTTGCTTTTACAATAATGCTTTTGAAGATTGGGTTCCTTCTGCTCACATGCAGATACACTGCAAATTATTTCCACAGAATTTAAATTTGTTTTCCTACCCATGATGAAATAAATAAATATTTTTAATGATTTAATAGGATGTCTTTGAGTTTTCTCCTTCACTCCTTGTTCCTTGTCTCAGGAAAATTCTGGGCACTAAAGGAGAAGAGAGAGAGAAAGAAAATAAGACTAAAGAAAATGTGAGATGAATTTTTACATGGAAGGTATTTTGGTTCAGTGAGAATTATAGTAATTGGATTCAGAAAACACAGGCTTAAGCTTCTCTCACTGGGCAAGGGTGCACAGTTTATTTGATGTTTCCTGTCTTGGTTTCCTTATATCCACACACTGCAGTACTTAACATTCCTTATCAGTAGGACTTGGATGAGCTATCATACACAGTCTGGTGTTGAATAAGCTATCACAGACAACTTACTATCATAGTATTAGCTCAGGGAAATAGTTGAACAACCTCAATATTATTCTCTGAATGTATATATATATATATGTTCTGAGTAGAAAAATCTTCATTTTCTAGAAACTTTCACATTGCATGTTACAATATCTTCACTGGTGTTAACTGTTAGAAAATGGATATTTTGGTGTGGAGGTTTTCATTTTGCCACTTACTCTTTGGATGACACAGAGGTAAACTCCCTCCACCATTTCTATGTTTCAGAAAGCCTTCTTTAATATTTCTAAAAAAAAAAAAAAATTCAAGGGAGAATTTTCATGGCTACATTGACCTCTGACCTCTTGTTTCTCTCAACATTTATTTTACTCTTCTTCTTATCAGTTTTAGCAGCCATAACTTGGTTTTAAATGTATATATCTTGGGGCTGAAGAGGTGGTTCAGCGTTTGATGCTCTTTTAGAGGACTAGAGTTTGGTTCCCAGCACCTAGATTGGACAGCTCACTACCACCTGCAACTCCAGCTGCCAGGCAGCCTAGCTTCCTCTAGCCTCTGAGAGCACCTATCCATGTGTGTCATATTACACACACATGTCAGACTACAGGTGACACAGATACACACATATAAAATCTTTATAAAAATAATATCAAAAATATACTTGTCTTTCTGCTTTGCATTGTTTAGCGTCTTACAACAAGAAAAAACTGTCTGAGAAACTAGAAGACAAACACCAGGGTTAGATACGAATTAACATATGCTGCCTTCACTGGGGCCTTCCCCTCTTGGTTTCCCAGAGCTCTGTTTCCCGGTTGGTGACTGTACAATTTTGAATCACAACCTGACATCCAAGAAGTAAACTTGCAGAATATCTATTTATCCTGCTAGACTCAAAAGCAGAGTAATATATAATCCTGCCTCAGTAAGTGTACGTGTGTGGGGAAAGTAAAGGGGAGAGGAAGAACTATTTGAAGGATATTAATATCAAAGACTTAATTTGGTCGTTTTGCAGAGTTGAGTTAATGGATTAAACTTGTGGCTGTTTCATGTAGTTTTGTCAGAAAGTGATGTGTCAGAATTTTTACATCTGAGATACTTGCTCTTTTAAGCTGACGGGAAGCATCAATCATAGGTAAAAATTCTCCTGCTGATCGCTCTCTTTTCTCTCGTTATCAGAAAAGAGGAATTTATATGTGATTTTTCAACAGAAATAGGAGTAGAAGAAAGACAGTTCATTTCAAAGACACTTTAAAGTGCTTGGATTTCTATTTAACTTTGAAAACAAACTCAAACTGATATTCTGAATTCTATTAGTGATCATGACTGCACAAGCCCCCATTATCACTCCTTACACCTTGACTTGGATCTAATAGGAAACCTTCCTAAGTGTGATGCTGTGGTTATTCGAGGCTCAACTCTGCAGGTTCTGGGAAAGGGAAGGAAGTTAGCATTCTGCACACTTACTGGTTGCTCAGCACTATTCTAATTGGCTCTTTGCATCACAGTTTATCTCATATATAGTCCTCATGGCAACCGTTTGCAGGAGGTGTTGCGTTTCCCATTAAACAAACGAGCTTACTGAAGCTCAAAGAAAGTTAAGTGACTAGCCCAAGGTTATTAAGTTAGTAATAACCTTTGATTTGAGTATCATGCTCCAATCTTTTTCTTTCACAGTTTTAACTCTGGCATAATCTATTCATAGTCAGGACTGCCCGTCTCAAAACTGTAAATAAAACTAGCTTAAATTTATGTCAAAATTTGGAAGTTATGTTTTTATATGAAAAAACACACACAACATCAGAGGGGGGTGATTAGTGTGATCTAATACAAAATGGCTTAGACTAAAATTCAGAATAGTCCTTTCTTTTGGTCTCTGTTGTCTCACTAATAGCACTATGACCTAATGTACCAGTTGGGGCTTCAGATTTCTCATGTGTAAAATACAGATGTTGAACTGAATGATCTTTTACACCCTTTCAAAACAAAAAAATACTCCGTGTTTCTAAACAGGAAATAGTTGAAGTACAATTTTGGATTTTCAAAGTTACATAACTAATGGAATTAAAGAAAAGCAGAGGAAAAAAGAAAAATAGATAGATAAGAAAAAAAACCAACTGCTAATCATTTACTCACATAATGCTTAAGTTTATACTTTCACTGAATAGCAATTAACAAACCTGCTATGTTAATATTAACCCCACTGTGTTGAAGGGAAATGACTCAGAGAAGTGAAGCAGTTCATCCATCTTTGCTAGGACAGTATCTGGAGAGTTCATCTGCAGAGAAAATATTTTCATCACTGTAAAAATAAATATGCTGCTTCAAATGTCTCTAGTTATTTGTACTAGACCCATTCAATCACAAATTTAGATAAATATGGACCATACACACATAAAACATCTGTTGTGTAGCATCCACATAAATAAATCTTGTTCATAAGGAAATAAAATTTAATTTTTAAAATTTATTCT